AGAGTCTTACTCTGTTGCCCAGGCTGGAGTATGTGGCATGATTTCGGCTCACTGCAACCTCTGCCTCCTTGGTTCAAGTGATCCTCCTGCCTCAGCCTTCCAAGTAGCTGGGACTACAGGTGCACACCACCACACCCAGTTAATTTTTGTATTTTTAGTAGAGACGGGGTTTCGCCATGTTAGCCAGGCTGAGCTCAAACTCTTGACTGCAGGTGATCCACCTATCTCGGCCTCCCAAAATGCTGGGATTATAGGTGTGAGCCACCAGGCCCAAGCTGTCTCTTATATTTTTGACCATAGTTTATAGCATCCCAATCCATTAAGTCTTCTAAGCTAGAAAGTTTACTCCATTCTCTGTGTCCCCAGCACTTTGTCCATGTCTTTATTACAGCATATTCCATGAGATATGATAGTATATCTGCATATGTCTGTCTCTACTACAGCATGTTTGTCTCAAGTAGGTTGAAGTTGGGGGTGAGTGGCAGGGAGAAAGGAGAAGAGCATTCCAGACACAAAAAAAATAGCATGAAGGCGCAGAGATGAGAGAAAATAAAGTACAAAAGAGTCCAGTTTGATTGGAGCATAAAAGGTAAGAAAGTGAGTGGCATGAAGTGAGGCTAGATTAAATAAAAATATATCACAGCTGGGTGAGGTGGCTCATGCCTGTAATCCCAGCACTTCGGGAGGTTGAGGCAGGTGGATCACCTGAGGTCAGGAGTTTGAGGTCAGCCTGGCCAACATGGTGAAACCCCATCTCTACTAAAAACACAAAAATTAGCTGGGTGTGGTGGCGGGCACCTGTAATTCCAGCTACTCAGCAGGCTGAAGCAGGAGAATGGCTTGAACCTAGGAGGCAGAGGTTGCAGTGAGCCAAAATCATGCCATTGCACTCCAGCCTGGGTGACAGAGCAAGACTACCTCTCAATAACAACAACAAACAACAACAACAGATATATATATTATTTATATATATAATTATTATATATTATTTATATATATATATAATTATATATTATATATTTTATAATATATAATATATAAAAATATATAATATATAATTATATATATATAAATAATTATTTGTAGTCAAAGTTCTCCCATCCAAGTACTAACCATGCCTGACCCTGCTTTGCTTCCGAGATCTGACGAGATCAGGCGCATTCAGGGTGGTATGGCCGTAGACGAAAGAGTTCTCTAGTATGCCCATTAGATCAGTGCTATAAGTCTTGACAGTACCTCTACTCCCCTCTCATATAAGATGGGGACTAAGGCTGGGCGTGGTGGCTCATGCCTGTATTCCCAGCACTTTGGGAGGCCGAGGCGGGTGGATCACGAGGTCAAGAGATCGAGACCATCCTGGTCAACATGGTGAAACCCCGTCTCTACTAAAACTACAAAAAATTAGTTGGGCATGGTGGCACATGCCTGTAGTCCCAGCTACTCAGGAGGCTGAGTCAGGAGAATTGCTCGAACCCAGGAGGCGGAGGTTGCGGTGAGCCGAGATCGCGCCATTGCACTCCAGCCTGGGTAACAAGAGCGAAACTCCGTCCTCAAAAAAAAAAAAAAAAGATGGGGACTAAACCTGAGCAAAGCAAAGGCAAGTCCAGAGAGAAGAAAAAGTAAAAAATCAGACCAAAGGAAGAATAACTAAGGGCTCCCTGACCCAAAGAAGAGACCTCTCAGTGGATATCTGAGGTCAGTGTTTAAATGGACAAAAGACTATCAGACATAGTCACTTGGGTGTCTGACTGTAAGCTCCTACTAGATTGTCAGCTCCCTCAGGACAGAAAGGGACTGAATAATCTTTGTGTTCCTATCCTGTAACATGGTATTTGGCAATCGTAGGTAAGCCCAGAAAATGCCTACTGAATATGTGTGCAAATACCAACTGCCTGGCCACAGAGGCCAGCAAATCTTGGCTGAGTTACTGCACTTTAATTCCACAAGCCTTAAATCCCAAAGTGGGCCAGGCACAGTGGCTCATGCCTATAATCCCAGCACTTTGGGAGGCTAAGACAGAGGATCACTTGAGCTCAAGAGTTCAAGACCAGCCTGGTAACATGGTGAAAACCCAACTTACAAAAAATACAAAAATCCCTTTCTCAAAAACAACAAAACAATAACACCAGCAACGACAACAAAACCCAAACAAACAAAAAAACCCAAAGTGCTTCATATCTTTATCAGCATCACTCACCAGCAGAGGCAGCTTTCACCATCAACTGGGCAAATTCAATGGCACCTCCGTTTCTGAAGACTAATTTAAAAGTAGCTTGTCCTTCCCAGCCACCTGGGGGAAGAAATGGCACACACTCACTAAGAAGCTGGCAAAGATGACAACAGAAAGACTGCCACAAACACCAAGGAAAGCACTACCTGACAAAACAGGGCAGCTTTTGTTTGAATTTCAACATGAGCCAAATTTGAATCTTAAACATTCTAGAAGGTTTTGAGGAAAAAAGATACACGCTTCTGAAGGAATACTTACCATCCGGAGCTGCCCGAATACTTCCCTTAATGAAGTTTGCAGCGAATACTGGTTGTTCAACAGTGAGGTTCGTTATCAGATCAAATGGCATCATAAAAGACAACATGGGATCGTTGATGGAGTGCGAAGTTATGAAAATCACCTAAACAAGGAAAGAAACTTTGGAAAAGGAATGCAAAATTGGTCTATGGATTCAGACTTACAAGAGCAAGGTACATTCTGGCCTAATTGAGAAACATCATCATTTCTTCCATCACTCTTCAACATGGAAAATCCCAAAGTACAAACGTTTAAAAACACTTTGATTGGGATACCAAGGCGGGTGGATCATCTGAGGTCTGGAAGTTCAAGACTAGCCTAGCCAACAAAGTAAAACCCCATCTCTTTAAAAAAAAAAAAATACAGTATTTTTCTCACTTAAATTATTGCTGTCAGGTATGTAAAAAAAAAAGAAAAAAAAAACACTTCGAAAGTCAGTATTTAACTTTTCTTCATTTTTAAGGAAAACAAATGTAGAGTTAATCAGCAGATTAAAGTAGAAACAGAAATTACCCGGTATGAAGTGAGAAACAATGTTCCTGTCTTTGTACCACTAAAGACACTGGAGCCTTCTGATTGCTGTGGGAAGGAGAGCTCCACATTTGGGGACTGCTTCAAGAGACTGTAGAAAAGGAGGAACAGCACACAATCCAGAACGTATATAAAATGACAAACATTAACTTCTTAACACAGTTTTTTTTCCAGAGTAAGCACTCAATAAACATTAGCTGCTGCTACTGCTATTACTACTACTGCTACTACTACTACTATTTTATTGAAGTAAAAAGAAATATTCAAATGATCTTATTCTCTGACAATTTACTCTTCATCATTTGATTCTTTTTCTTGTCAAACCTACTCCTATTCTCAATGTATATTCATTCTTTTTTTTTTTTTTGTCTGAGACAGAGTCTTGCTCTGTCACCCAGGCTGGAGTGTAGTGGCGTGATCTTGGCTCACTATAACCTCTGCCTCCTGGGTTCAATCAATTCTCTACCTCAGCCTCCCAAGTAGCTGGGATTATAGGCGCCTGTCACCATGCTTGGCAAATTTTTGTATTTTTAGTAGAGATGGGGTTTCACTATCTTGGCAAGGTTGGTCCTGAACTCCTGACCTCATGATCCACCCGCCTCAGCCTCCCAAAGTGCGGGGATTACAGGCATGAGCCACCCCGCCTGGCCTCATTAATTCTTAGACTTCTTGTGTGGTAAGCATAAAGCACCATGCTAATAGCAATGGTTCTTTGACACTGGTAAAAAAGGTAAGGCGGCAGACTGCCCCAGCCCCCTCTGACATGTTGTTCCCTCAGCCTGTTGTGCTCTCTCCTTACTGTTAACCTGGAAAACTTGGACTCATCTTATTGTCACTCATCAAATCCTGCTGGGTTCCTGAAAAGTTGGACTCATCTTATTGCCATTCATCAAAACCTGCTGAGTTCCTTCCTTCCTTCTTCCTTTTTCTTTCTTCTCTCTCTCTTCTTCCTCCCTTCCTTTTTTCCTTCCTTCCTTCCCTCCCTCTTTCTCTCCCCCTTTCTCCCTCTCTTTCATCTTTCTTTTTTTTTTTTGAGACAGGGTCTCGCTCTGTTGCCCAGGCTGGAGTACACTGGCATAATCTCAGCTCACTGTAACCTCCGCCTCCTGGGCTCAGGTGATCCTCACACTCAGTCTCCTGAGTAGCGGAGACCATAGGCAAGCACCACCATACTTGGCATTTTTTTTGTGTTTTCAGTAGATACGGGGTTTCACCATGTTGCCCAGGCTGGTCACAAACTCCTGGGCTCAAGAGATCTGCTTTAGCCTCCCAAAGTGCTAGGACTACAGGCATGAGCCACCACACCCAGCTCCCCAGCTCTTTCTTAATAAGAATATGTATAATATTTTATATATGTGTGTGTATATATATAAGTCCAGTGTATACCTTAATGATTATTAGGGGCAATGTCTGCCTTCTTTGATACTCTAGCCCTAGCAAACAGTGGATGTTCTAAGCAGTTATTGAATGAATGAAAACATGAATACAGATCATAATATAAACAATATATGATATACATAATATAAATGGTACCAAAATGTCATAGCAATTTAGTGGAAGAGATTAGTTTTGGTTGAAGAAATTAGGAATGACCTAATAGAAAGGGTGCAATTTGAGCTAATTAAGAGATAGGTAGTGTTCTGGCTGGGCATGGTGGCTCACATCTCTAACACCAGCACTTTGGGAGGCCAAGCCTGGCGGATCATTTAAGGTCAGGAATTTGAGACCAGCCTGACCAACATGGTGAAACCCCATACCTACTAAAACATAAAAATTATCCGAGCATGGTGATGCACGCCTGTAATCCCAGCTATTCGGGAGGCTGAGGTGGGAGGACTGCTTGAGCCATGGAACAGAGATTACAGTGAGCCACTGTACTCCACCTGGGCAACAGAGTAAGACCCTGTTTGAAAAAAGAGAGCAAGAGAGAGTGACAGAGATGGGTAGTGTTCAGTAGGCAGAGGTGAGGGTGGGGACAATCCAGATGGCGAGCAAACAGCATTAATGGAGGTACAGGAGCAGACAGGGAAAGCAAACTGCATACTTGGGAGAAGCCTAGTGGTGTGGCTTCAACAAAACATAGCGTGGGAGTGAGGTTAGGAGGAACAGTGAAATAAAGTTGGAAAGCTATGCCAGAACTACAGCTTAAACATCATTTCGTAGGCAAGGGGAAATTGTGAGCTTCAGATTTCTCAACAGGGAAGTCACATGATCAAGAAGGTATTAGTTTAAGAATTACTAAAATAGTCCTGATGAAAGGTAAAAACTGGAACTAGGGCAGTAATGTACAGATTAAAAGGGAAGTGTTTTTTTTTTGTTTTTTTTTTTTTTAAAACTAGGAAAATACAGGACATTAGCCAAAAAAACAGTAGAGTAAGAACCTTTAAATGTCAGTCTAGACATAAAAGCAATAAATAAAGCAAAAGAAAACCTGTCAGAGTCAACTTTTTCAGAACTCTAGAATCTAATCAAAAGGTTATAGTAACTAGGAGAATGCTTAAACAATTTATTTTTTTATTTTGCTTTTTTTAAAATTTCTTTTCTAACAGTGCATTTTTTAAAAAAGCCGAATGTGGTAAGTAAGCTTTATGGCATTTTAACCTACCCTGGTATCATCCCCACTACTAGTCTGGCAGAAGCTTGAAGACAAAATCTATATTCCCACGATAGATACCAAGTACTAGAGGGAGCGGAACATACGTATTCTAAAAAATTGTAGTTTGTGGCTCATGCCTGTAATCTCAGCACTTTGGGAGGCTGAGGCAGAGGATCACGAGGTCAGGAGATCAAGACCATCCTGGCCAACATGGTGAAACTCCATCTCTACTAAAAATACAAAAATTAGCTGGGTGTGGTGGCATGTGCCTGTAATCACAGCTACACAGGAGGCTGAGGCATGAGAATTGCTTGAACCAGGGAGTCGGAGATTTCAGTGAGCCGAGATGACACCACTGCACTCCAGCCTGGGCAACAGAGTGAGACTCTGTCTCGTAAAAAGAAAAAAATTGTAGTTTGTTTTGACTTGTCTGGTGGCTTCTTGAAGGACTGGCTCAAAGGGCACATGCTTAATTTGTATTTTTCCTGGGGCTGATGAGGCTACTGGAGGGCATTTGTCAAAAACATTTCCAAGCCAATGCATTAGTTGCTGCTAGCTAGAAGAAGGGATGACAGTTGGGGCAAAAAATAGACAAATTGTGAAGATAGAGGAAAGGATGAGCAATGAGATGCTTTAAGGAATAAAGGCTTTGAAAAACTCACACATATTCCTGTGAAATGAGAAAGCTACACACATACACATCCAGGGCTGAATTTGTACTAAAAACAAAAAACAACACACACACACACACACACACACACACACACACACACACAGAAGAGGCACTAAGTTTTCACCTCTGACTGACAATTAGACAAAAATAAAAATAAACAGACAAAAAAAGACAATTAGAAATGATACAAAATGGAGTAGGTGTGGTGGCTTACACCTGTAATCCCAACATTTTGGGAGGCTGAGGAGGGCAGATCACCTGAGTCCAGGAGTTCAAGACCAGCCTGGTCAATGTGGCGAAATCCCGTCTCTATTAAAAATACAAAATTACCAGGGCATGGTGGTGGACACCTATAATCCCAGCTACTCGGGAAGCCGAGGCAGGAGAATTCCTCAAACCCAGGAGGCAGAGGTTGCAGTGAGCCAAGATCACACCACTGCACTCCAGCCTGGGCAACAGGGCGAGACTCTGTCTCAAAAAAAAAAAAAGAAAGAAAAAGAAAAGAAAGAAATGATGCAAAAAGAAGTGACAGTGAAGGCAGGGGTATAAACTGCCTGGCTGAGTGAGAAAGGCATGGTCATCCTCCTGATCTGCCCACCTCAGCCTCCCAAAGTGCTGAGATTACAGGCATGAGCCACCGTGCCCGGCTAATATCTTTCTTAGTGCCTCAAACTAAATCCTGTTCAGGCATTTTTTTTTTTTTTTTTTTTGAGACAGAGTCTCGCTCTGCCATCAGGCGCCAGGCTGGAGTGCAGTGGTGCAATCTTGGCTCACTGCAGCCTCCGCCTCCCAGGTTCAAGCAATTCTCCTGCCTCAGCCTCCCGAGTAGCTGGGACTACAGGTGCACGTCACCATGCCCAGCTAATTTTTTTGTATTTTTAGTAGAGATGGGGTTTCACCATGTTGGCCAGGATGGTCTTGATCTCTTGACCTCGTGATCCGCCCACCTTGGCCTCCCAAAGTGCTGGGATTACAGGCTTGAGCCACTGCAGGCATGTTTTAACAAGTTAGTATGAGTTAATTTTTGTGGAAAAAAATCTGGAAACCATGCACAGTTTTTTCACAATCCATATTTTCCATAATCTTTTGGAGGACTCCTCATGAATCAATCTTCTCCCACTTGTTTTTTTTTAAGTTCCTCTTTTGCTTTCTTTTTTTAATTTTATTATGTGAGATGAGGTCTCACTATTTTGCTCAGTATGGTCTTGAACTCCCTCCTGGCTTCAAGTGATCCTCCCATCTCAGCCTCTCGAATAGGTAGGACTACAGGTGTGCACCACCACCTCAGGTTCTGCAAAGTCGTTTCTATCCAGGAAACCAGGGTACTAATAAGTCCTTCTTTGGCAAGAAGAAAACAGAGAAACAGTCCTTTTCTTTTTGGAGGAACAGCTGGAGTAGGTACTTAATGCACAGTTCCTAAGATCAAATCCAAATCCAAGCTCTCTCACATGCACTTTAAGCAAATGACTTTTTTTTCTACCTGTGAAATGAGGGAAACAGTACTGATCTTCACTGTAGATTGTAGACAGAGTAAGTTTTTTTGTTTTGTTTTGAGACAGTCTCACCATATTACCCAAGCTGAAGTGTAGTGTCACAATCTCAGCTCACTACAATCTCCCCTCTGCCTCCCAGGCTCAAGTAATTCTTGTGCCTCAGCCTCTCGAATTGCTGGGATTACAGACGTGCACCACCATGTCCAGCTAATTTTTGCATTTTAAGTAGAGACAGAGGTTTCACCATGTTGGCCAGGCTGGTCTCAAACTCCTGGTCTCATGTAATCCACTAGCCTTGGCCTCCCAAAGTGCTGGAATTACAGGTGTGAGCCACCATGCCTGGCCGACAGAGTGGTTTAAACTACAGTAAAAAGCTCTTGGAACTAAGAACAGTACTTGGCATATTTAAGTGTTCAATAAATTCTATTAAGTATTCAGGAGTACAAAATGGATCCCACAAAGATAATTCAAAGGACCACAAAAACAAGTGTTTGTGTTTTGTTGTTTAAAACATGCTTCCTTCCCTTTCTCCAACACACAAGCAGCAAAGCAGAGACACACCCATAGCCCAAGGAGAAGACACCCAAACACCAAATTAGAAATGGCTTCACAGCACGGAATGAGAGGTGCTCAAATGGCTCCTAGTAAGTGCCCACAGGGACAAACAACCCTGTCAGCGTGGTGAGCAATCATCTCCCACAAAATTGAACAAAGCAGCAGAGGTACGTAGGAAGCAAGTGAGGACATAGAACCTCTAAGGCCCATGTAAATCTGTCAAGAAAACTTTCTGGTGGAAGGAAGGATAGAAGAAAGATCTGGACATCAGCATTTGGTAATGTCTACTTTAATCTTCCTGACAACTGCATTCAAACCGACCTGGGTGTGCTGGCCCCAAGCACATCATCTAGCTTGAGTTCCACTGCTGGGTGGGAAAAAAGGAAAGTAAGGGCAAGTCAGAGCCCAGAAAGGAGCACAATTCAGAACCGCACAGCCGGGGAGACTGAGGATGACTGTGGGGTAACAAGGAAAGGGGCATGTGGGGTAGAGGTAAAGAAGGGAATGTAGCGGAGTCGCGGCCATAGTGGGCAAGTAAGCCTTGAAGGTGGAGAGAGGCACCTCTCTGAAGACTGGGCCTGCTCCAGTAGAGTGCTCAGGAGCTAGCAGCAGGGGCCAGCAGCAACCACAAGGAGCTAAGCAACTGGTGCAAACCCCACACAGCTTCATGCAACCAAGAGTGCTTTATTCTGCCCAGGCTTCTATTCAGTCTCATCTTTTTATTTTTTTTTTTGAAACAGGATCTGGCTCTCACCCAGGCTGAAGTGCAGTGGTGCAATCTGGGCTCACTGCAGCCCAAACTTCTGGGTTCAAGCGATCCTCCTACCATAGCCTCCCAAGCAGCTGGGATTATAGGTGCACACCATCATGCCCCACTGATTTTCTACTTTTTGTAGAGATAGGGGTCTCACTATGTTGCCCAGGCTTGTCTCAAACTCCGAGTTCACCTCAGCTTCCCAAAGTGTTGGGATTAGAGGCATGAGCCACCACACCAGGCCTCAATCTTTTCAATCTTTTGTTTTACAAAAGCAGACATCTCCCTAGTTGGAGCAAGGAGAAAACGGGACTTCGGTATGTTCCGAGGGACAAGGAGAAGCCCACGACAGTTCGAGATCTTTCCAGAATGATCTGCACTCCACCTCCTCATCCCTCTTCCCAAAGCGCGACACCTTGTTCCTGGGAGTAGGGGGCGATGCACACCCAGTGCCTGCCCTCATCCGACAAAGTCATAGGGGACTCACGGGCAGCTGTACTGCCACCGAGGGTCCCCAGCTGCTCAGGACCGCCAGTCAGATCCAGCCTGTCTTCGAACGAGACACGCATCTCTGGCCCCGCCCCCGGCCCCCGCCCTCCGCCCTGAGGAGACATGCGTCTAGCCCCCGCACCGTGAGGAGACACGCGTCTTGGCCCTGCGCCTGAAGAGAGGCATTCCCACCCCTGCCGCTCACACGCGAAGCCAAGCGTTCTGGCCTCCACCATCTTTTTTTTTTTTTTTT